TACATCCAAACAAACCTACCTATGACCTAATTTCAAAAAGAACCGAAATGCAAACATTTTGGCTGATAAATTCCGATCAATGGGCCACGTCAGAAGAGTCTTTCTCAGTCCTAGCTTTATTGCCCATCTCCCTCTCTCTCTCTCTCATAGGTGCCAATTCTCTGGGGTCCTGGGTGCCCAAGCACCCACAAAATTCACCATGAAGGGGCTGAGCACCCACAAATTTGGGTGCCAGGGCCATGAGCGCTGCATGGCACCCATGACCCCGGGCACCCACAGTCACGGGGCCAAGGTGGCACTCCTGCTCTCTCACTACAACTACATTATCACACTTCCCGTCTCAGAATCCTAAAGCCTCAATCTCACTTTTTAAACCTCCTAATTATCATCCTTGCAATTCTGCGCAATGTTATACTTTCCCGATCACCATTTCTCTCCTATCCCACCTGCCTCTGTCTCATCCTCCCCGCCTCTCCTACCCTGACACAGTTGAGGATTAGCATCCAGGGTATTATTTACATCGTTGCTAAATATTTAATTTAATCCTGGCTAGATTTGTTCTGCTGAGCCCTTAACCATGACCTGCTTTACTCTCCACTTACACCTAATCCAAACCCAAAACTTTCCACCTTGGGCAGCTGATTCAGCCTACCCTGGCTGCCACCTGAGTGTTGCACCTTCTCTTAAGGACACGGTGCTGCTGGGATGGGGAGCAAAGCTTGTGTCTGCACAAAACGACACTTGGTACTTGGGCTTGCACAGCATGACCTGGCCTTTCCCCTCTCATTGCTGAATGATAGCATATTTAGGGGTGGGTTGGTGGTGGTTGTCTTTTATTACCTGCTTTGGTAATCTTTTGTCACAGCCAGTTGCAGCCCGAATGTCTGCTGCTTGGAATCACAAGTGTGGAGAGAGTTGTTGTACTTTGGTCCTGCTTTGGCATTTTCTAGAGGCACCTGGTTGGCCACTGTGAGACCAGTGGGAGCTTTCTTTATTTTTTCTGTGATGATTTCAATGTCTATCCCATGGGTAGGCAAACTAAGGCCCGGGGGCCGGATCCGGCCCAATCGCCTTCTAAATCCGGCCCATGGATGGTCCGGGAATCAGCACGTTTTTACATGGTAGAATGTGTCCTTTTATTTAAAATGCATCTCTGGGTTATTTGTGGAGCATAGGAATTCGTTCATTTTTCCCCCTTCAGAATACAGTGGTACCTCGGGTTAAGTACTTAATTTGTTCCGGAGGTGCGTTCTTAACCTGAAACTGTTCTTAACCTGAGGTACCACTTTAGCTAATGGGGCCTCCTGCTGCCGCCGCGCCGCCGGAGCACGATTTCTGTTCTCATCCTGAAGCAAAGTTCTTAACCTGATGCACTATTTCTGGGTTAGCGGAGTCTGTAACCTGAAGCGTATGTAACCTGAAGTGTATGTAACCCGAGGTACCACTGTATAGTCCTACCCCCCACCAGGTCTGAGGGACAGTGGACCGGCCCCCTGCTGAAAAAGTTTGCTGACCCCTGGACTATCCTGTTCTTCCTCCCAAAGAGCCCAGGATGGGGAGAAAAGGGTTCAATCACCCCTCTCTGTGCACTACCTCTACCACCCCCATGCCTAGGATTAGATTTTTGAAATCCCCTGACATGTCAAATATTCATAAAATTAACATGTCAGGTAGTTAGACCTCCAGGGACAGAATCTAGTGCACTGTGCAGATAAAGCAAGCAGCCTTAGGCTGAATCTCTCATTCCAAGGTCCACTGCAGATTTTCTTACTTAGAAATAGAACAACGGGTGCTAGAGGGAGTATCAGAGGATCCCAATCAAACTGGCTCCAGTGAAAACAAATCTGAAAAAGTGATGCAGGATTAGGCAAGCCACTTTAACAGGATTACAGCAACAGGGGAGGAATGCCAAACATTCCCAGACGGACAACCTTCCCGTGGGCTTGCCCCGAAGTGAGTGAGGCTGCACTCCCCCAGCTTCCCTAAACAAGGAAATGGTATCTTTTTAAACACACTGCACATGATGTCCCCAGAGCTATAAAAATGAGGCCCTCGGTTAACTGGATTCCCAGGCACGCAGACGTGGCTTGAGAGCCTGCAGCTGGCATTCCGCAGGGATCTCAGGTGACAATGACAAGAAGCAGATTGCAAGAGCATTTCTCCTTTCCCTCTCTGGTGCCATATGGTGCTCTAAAATGACAGTAAGCAGTGTGCTCATACAATGATGTGAGTCAACCCCACAACCTCAAGCACAGGACTCCCATGCCCAGACAGTGTCACGTGAGCTTGCTCGGTGGCAGGACACACACCTGGCATGCGAAAGGTCTCAGGTTCCGTTCCCTGAAATCTCTAGATAGGGCTGGAAAAAGTCCCATGCCTGAAACTCTGGAGAGATGTTTCCAGCCAGGGTAGTGATCTAGGTGAACCCACAGTCTGACGTTGAACAAGGCGGCTCCCTACGAATAGTAATAGTCTGGGAATAGTAAGAGGCTGGCTCTGTCACTCAGTTGGCATCAGCCATCTTTCTGTCCTGAGTTTTATTGGCTGGGATCCTGTAAAACAGTAGCTTCTAGATTCTGGAGGGAAGATGGATGAAATGTAAGCTGCGCAGGTAAGGATGTGCAGTTCAAACAATGCCAGTTTCATTAGAGAGAAGTGGAGCTGTCAAACAGAAGAACCTGGTGGCTATTAGGATTTGGGTTTTTTGTGTGATTTCTTGTTCAGATATTTTTAAAGGGTTGTGCTGTTTCATGGTTTTTCATCTGGTTGCCTAAGCCACCTACCACTTGTGCAAAGGGTGGCGTATAAATCATCTAAATAAATAAATGAAAGCAAGAAAAGTTGGCTGGGGTCATTAAACAGGAGCAGGAAGAAGGTCTTGGTGGGAATCAAAAGGAATAAGATCTGGATGCAGCACAGGCTTAATTGATGTAGAATTTATTGTTCTGGCTCCTTTCTAGCATAACAGTGACAAACAACCCCCTATTTCTCCCCACTAGAATACCTCTTGTCCTCCCAGGTTCATATAAGTCCTGGGATTGCTCACCCTGGGGTTCACAAGGCATTTTGAAATACTTTTGAGAATTCAGGCTGCTTGAAGGAGGAATAGGATCTGCAAGTTTTGGGGTTGATAAACCTGAATTTAGGGAGAAGGACAACTGAGTCTATATGGGGATGTTTTCTGTAGGGCAGGAATAGTACCTTAGTGACCTAACCATCAGGAACTGTGTGTTAAAATTAATAAATGTAGAAACAGGATGGAATGGACTTGTCAGAAAATACATGCAAAAGTGACATGAACCAATAATATTCTGATTTATCTATCCTCGCTTTCAACATAATTGCTTATGTCACAGGCGACAGAGACATCAGGCAATGTTATATGCCCATGCATAATTCTCTGGCTTAAATGCATGTTTATGAAATCCCTGAAAGTTAATCAATAATCTTGATTAGTAGAAGATGTGGCATGCCGTGCTTTCCTGCAGGGTGATATCTGCCTGCATCTCTGGAGAGAAGCGTGTGCATCAGTGACAAAGTGATATTGATGCAACCCTTAGCACCATTGCCCATCAAAGTGGATCAGTGTTATCTTATGGATAAATGCACTGACTTGCCCTTTGCTAGCTAGCAGAGGTGGCTGTTGTTGTTTTTTAAATAAGTCAGTCAACAAACAAACAGCATTTCTGCTTTCCACACACCCCTTGCACTAACCACTACACAGTGCCCCCTGTATCCTTTGTGCATGACCGTGATAAATTGAATATCTATTACTGCTCCTGTTCCAATGCTGACTTTATGAGTAGAGCTCTATTGTTACTCAGAGTGATTTATGAAGTCCTCTTTATTTAGCATTCTAGTTCCGTTTGGTGCATGTCAAGATATTTGCAGAAAATGACTATATGCAAGTCAGGACGATCTGCCTGGTTATGTAACACAAGCAACGCTGCACTAATAATAGAAAGCGGAAGAAAGCCTGGAGCAGGAAGAGCAGCGGAGAAGGGATAAATCAAACAAATGAAGTGCACAAGAAAATGTCATTCTTGGACAAATGGTGACAGCGTTCATTCTGTCCTCTTGGCATTTCCCTCGGCGCTTTCATCAGTTCCCAGGAGGATCTGCATTCAGGCAATTCTGATCCGATGGCATGGAGGTCCAAAGGCCAAACGCAAACAAATGTGTGGAGAGAACCCACATTTCCTTGGCCTGTATTTGTTTCCTGGCTTACGCAAGAGGTGGATGCAATGCTAATTTGTTGCTGATTTAGGCTGTGGATGAGTTGTGGATGAGCAAATCCCATCAAAAGCTCTGGGCTATTGGTGAATGAAGGACTGGAGTCCAGCCCACTGTTGAAATAAGCTCAACCATAGGAATACAGTGGTACCTCGTGTTACATACGCTTCAGGTTACAGACTCCGCTAACTCAGAAACAGTGCTTCAGGTTAAGAACTTTGCTTCAGGATGAGAACAGAAATCGTGCTCCGGCGGTGTGGCGGCAGCAGGAGGCCCCATTAGCTAAAGTGGTGCTTCAGGTTAAGAACAGTTTCAAGTTAAGAACAGACCTCCGGAACGAATTAAGTACTTAACCCGAGGTACCACTCTATAGGAAACAGCCTTAGACCCTTAGATCTAGCCCAGTATTGTCTACACTCACTGGGAGCAACTCTGCAAGATTTCAGACTGGGGACATTTGCTGCTCTACCTGGAGATGCTGGGGATTGAATTTGCAACCTTCTGCATGCAAAGCAGATGCTCTACCGTTGCGCCATGGCTCCATAGGGCTGTTTCCCAGCATGGAATGACATGCTACATTCAACACAGGGCTCCTGTCAAAACTGACAGCTGTGGAGTGACTTTGTCCATGCATGCCCCCATCATCTTTAGGCAGAGCTATGACGTTACCATGTTGTGTGTCTCTCTGCCAACATCCAATGCACACCACTGAGCGGGATGGGAGAGGACAATGCGCAATGTGCTGGTGATACTGCAGCATGTCCAGCATGCCAAGGGTGGGAGATCTTGACATGATGCTGCTGCCTTCCTCTGAGTCTTCCGAATGTGGGTCTGTGTGGCACAACAGAAACACGTGTGCTCCCAGCACACAAAGGTGCGCATGCAATTCTTCAATGCAGAACTGATGTTTGTACAGGAAATTGATTGACTGAATGAATGAATTTATGTACAGTGGTACCTCGGGTTACATACGCTTCAGGTTACGGTCTCTGCTAACCCAGAAATAATACCTCGGGTTAAGAACTTTGCTTCAGGATGAGAACAAAAATTGTGCGGTGGCAGCGGGAGGCCCCATTAGCTAAAGTGGTGCCTCAGATTAAGAACAGTTTCAGGTCAAGAACAGACCTCCGGAATGAATTAGGTATTTAACCCGAGGCACCACTGTACTGCCTTTCTGCCGAGGTGCTCAAAGCGGTTTGACAATTTGAAACTGCATGAAAATAATATTCATGAAAATAATTTGAGAGCACAGGAAGAAGGGCAAAGGGATTGTTGTTGTCTATATCTGTTTTGCTAGCAGTATCAAAGGTGTGCCGTCCATGTTTCGCTTTATTGCTCAGACACCCACAAGCACTCACAGAGCCTGCCCTTCTAGTAGGTTGAGTGAAGTGGGTGCCTCAGATGGCAGATTCCAGGGGGCATCAGCAGCGTCTTCCAGCCATTTCCCCTTCACCCTGGCTTTCCCCATCTGCCTGAGCTACTGCCCTGGTGGTGTTACTGCTTAAAAAGGTGAAGGGACCCCTGACCATTAGGTCCAGTTGCGGACGACTCTGGGGTTGTGGCGCTCATCGTGCTTGTTGTTTCAGTGGTGCTGCATCTGTGTTCAAAGAGGGTGCATGTATATTTTTTCATTATATTGTTAGTTTAAATGTGGAACATTTTTTAAAAAGTTAAATACTGCTCCAGTAACTGGTGATGTGCGGGGAGGGGAGGAAAGTTTCTTAGTTCCATTTTCGCTGTTAACCAATCAGTGCTGTGTACAGACAGCATCTGTTGCAAACTCACAAAACCATTTTTTCAGAACTGGGCCCCAGAGAGAAGTATGTGTGTTTATGTGTCCCAGATTGGGCCCCCTGCTTCAGGAATATTGCATTTGTCTTCACCTTTAATCATGCAAGAATGCTAGTATTCTTTCATTACAATTTGCTGAACTCAGCATTTCCTTAATGTGGGGGTTGATCTGCATATGGAATCTTAATAGGTCAGCAAGCCCAACTGATTTCAATAGACTCATTTCTGTTGATTGTGCTGTTAGCATATGATAGATATTGATAGATGTTTTGAAATGCTTGCTGATTTTTTATAAATGTGAATTCTTTGTTGGGTTTAGTAAACTGTTGCAATAATTAATTGGATTATTCAGCAGGGTATTGCACTTTAGAGAGAAGCAAATTAAAGTGTACAAATATTTCAAATGAATAATGGTGGGAATCTGGTACTAGTTATATTCCAAATGAGTTTCACAATGTCCTTTCCATCATATTTATTCTGTGGTAGCATTTTTGGTTAGTAATAAAAACCAGAGTATAAGTTCATTGGAATACATGCAGTATCCAAAAGCAATTGACCCTACAATTCTCATGCTGCTTCCTCTGTGATCTCACTGGAAACATCTGGATTAAACAAGACTATAGCAACCTAAAGGTACATAAAGGATCTGGGAGTCACCTCTTTACCCTGAGCTTTGACATGTAAGAAAGTTTTTTAAGGGCCTGCCCTATTCTCCTGATGGTGTTTAATTTGTTGTGAACTGTTTACAATACTGTATTTTTAATTACTACGACCCACACTGGGTTATGGTGATGGGTAGGTAATAAATCCTAATAATAGTAATACTAATAACAATAATAATATCAGCACAGCTGACATAGAAAAGCTACATAATGTATCTTTTAATTTGAGTTTAAGGGTTGGGTTTAATTTAAGAATAAAACTAAATAAACAGAGCAGGTGTTTCTTTCCATAAAGGAAACCTGAAAAGACTAACAAAGGCAATGTTGTTAACCTCATTTTGGAGAGAAGGCGCAATGAAACACAAGCAGAAGTTACTTTCCATCTTGGGCAGAGTTAGAATAGCTGATGTTTCGGATATACCAAATTCCATCGCTTATTATCAGTTTGCTGAGCCAGCCAGTCGTGGTGTAACTGATATCATACAGAGTGTACATTTCAAGCCTCCAAGCTTTTTCTGGATTGTAATTTAGAAAACAAATACCTCTTAAATTGCACATTACAGATTAATTAGGATTTGGTTGGATATGATTAGGCCAATTAAATTGAGCTTCAAATCAGGCAGTGATCACCCATTATTTACAGCCCTAGGCAAGAAAAGTACAAATTAATCACCTGTGACTCCCCCATTCCTGGCTTATTGGAAATGGCAGCTGCCCACCCACCCAACTACTATCTCCAAAGCTTTGGGGAAATCCCTAATGAGAATTTTCATGGTAGCAAACAAAGCCCTGACATATAGATATTTTTCAGCTGCTTAAGGACACAAGAAGAGCCCTTTTGATCAGACCAGAGGCCTATCTAGTCATAGAGTCACTGAGTTGGAAAGGTCCACAGGGGTCATGTAGTTGAACTCCCTGCAATGCAGGAATCTCAGCACCCTGTTCTCGATGGCCAACTGGATTCCTCTGAGAAGCCCAAAACTGGGGCATGTGTGCAGCAGCACTCTCTCACTTGTGTTTCTCCACAACTGGTATTCAGAGGCATGCTGCCTTTGAGAGCCCTCATGCCTAGTAGCATCATCCACCAGGAATTTATTTAACCCCCTTTTGAAGCCATCCAAACTGGTGGTTCTCACGCTACATCTTGTAGCAGCAAATTCCCTAATTCAGCTACGTGCTGAGAGAGGAAGTCTTTCCCCATGACTGCTCCAAAGCTTCAACTGTTCAGCCTCACTGGATGACCCCTGGTTCAAGTATTATGAGGAAGAAAAACTTCTCCCTATCTGTTTCCTCCATACCATGAAGGATTGCATACACACCTCTCATGTTTCCCATCACTTGCCTTATTTCCTAAAGGTGGCAAACATTTCAAACTTTTTTCGTAGAGAAGTTGCTCTACCCCCCGATAATTTAGGCTGCTCTTTTCTGCACCATTTCCAGGCATGGGAGCCAGAAGTGCACACAGTATTCTAAGTGCAGATACATTTGTATAAAGGCATTGTGATATTTGCCGTTTTGTTTTTTATTCCTTTCCTAATGATTTTTCGCCACAGCTTAGTAAAGGTGTCCAGCTGAGACCTAGCTCTGCCAAGCAGTCCTTTCAGAATAATAATAATAATAATAATAATAATGTCACCCATCTGACTGGGCTGCCCCAGGCACTCTGGGCAGTCTCAAACAAATTAGAACGCAGTAAGACAGAAAGGCTCTGGGCTCACTGAAATGACAGGTTCAACAAAGCCAGCTTTCTCCAAGCTAGCGCCTTCATCTAGAGAGGTTTTGAACTACAACTCTCATCAGTCTCAATCAGCATAACTGTGAGCTATAATCCAAAACATCTGGAGGAGGGCACCAGGCTGGGGAAGATGAGCTAAGCCTTTTTAAACCCTTCTGCTTTTCGAATGACTTTGCTCTAATTATTATTTCATGAGATCTTCACGGACCACAGAGAGAATTCGGAGGACATAGCATTCAGTCCTAAAGCACTCTTTTCGGCACATCACTCTTAATGGCTTCAGCTACAAAGGCAGTCTGTGAAATCAGGGCCAGTTAACTCTTTCATCACTCATGCACACACACACAAAAAAACCCCCAAACATTATTGTCAATGCAAAGTCCTTCCAGGGCCCTTAGCTGGTATGCACAATGCACTGACTGTGATAAAATGGATTCTGAAGGCTCATATTGTTACAGGCTATCAAGTGACTGAACTGGATAGGCTCCAGTGAGTGGGTACATCCATTTTTTAGAATGGAAGCTTATGTTCAATGTCATTAAAAAAACAAAAACAAACCACCTGCACCTCCACGGTCACAAAAATAGCCTTCAAACAGCAAACATAACCCACTATTAATAATTAGTCTGGCTGTGCAAGTCTTGTTTCCGCACTCATATAACTGAGCAGCAGTGTCTTTCAGTGCTGTGTCAAAAGGGCACTGTGATCCCGAAGCCCAGCCTTGTAACTGGCAACTTGCTTTGTCACCCTAGGTGACAAGGAATTCTATCCAGGCGAGTGGGTGGGTGGGTGGGCGGAAGAGGGATGGGTCACTCCACCCATCCTCCACCTGCTGACTTGAGTGATGAAAGGTCCTTGCCATGCCTGTGGACCCTCCAAAGTGCTAGGCGCTAAGAGAAGAGCTCTGTGCCTTGTGTCTTGCTGTGGCTGCCAATGGTCAAGTCTTAGGCGCATTGGGTTGGTCACGGTGAGAGGAAAGTGCTGGGCTAGATGTGCCCCTGGCCTGATTCAGCAGGACACTTCTGCTGTTCTTAAGGATATAGGGCTCAGACGAAAGGGCACTGTGGAAGCACTGCATTACTGAGGTCCTATTCTAAACGCCATCCTTCAGATGAAATCTGGAATTGCTAAGTAACGACAGATCCGAGGAAAAGAGGCTAACCGACTGTTCTCAAAGGGAACATGAAATGCATCTGAGCCAAGGGCAGAAGGGCAAGTCCTGAGAGCCAAGGGATGAGGACTGAGAGGTGAGCCATAACATCACACCTGGCACACAGGCTCTGATCTCATCCTCTTATTACACTCTTCAGCTACAGCAGCCGGTAAGCTGATCATTGGCAAGGAGTGTGTGGGGGGGGGGGTCAAGGCATCTAAATGACCTGTGTAAGCTGCAACTAAATCCCACCTAGCTAATTAAGAAAGGCCGGGTGCAGTGGAGGGGGGGGGGAAAGCAGTGAAGTCTGAAGAAATCTAATATGACTATAATAATGTGATAATTACCCTAAACCACACGGGAGTGTAAGATAATCTCACATCTTCCAATAATAGCTTCAAAGGGCTGTACCTCAGCAGTCACTTTCCACTAATTGTTGAATTACAAACAAAATGAGCACATTGGGGCAATTACATAATTTATAGTTTCTGAATAAAGTGTTTCGAAAAGAAAAACCCGGGTTGAAGGGCTGATTCAGTTCATCAAGGGACTGCACATCTTTTCTGCATTTCAGCTTTCCCCTAATAGTCCCAGAATTCAACCCTCACTTAAAACTAATAATCATGGTAAATGTGCACTCCAGTGCTGGAGCTCATAATCTTCAATATACAAATATGAGTCTCTTTTTTTTAAGAAAAAGAAAAAAAATCATAAAATGGAAAGATGTTGCTGCAGGAGGACAGTAGCCATTCTCTTGTCTGAATGAATGGATTAACAGTCGATGGACAATTGCAATGCCTCCCTTATCCCTTCTTATGGAACTTTATATTCAAATTTGACTTGGACTGGACAAATAGAGGACTCTTCCAGATACAGAATTATCCTCCGTAATGTAGGATGCATGGCTGCTGCAATAGGTGACGGTAGTTTGTCGATGTTCTAACCCTTTGAGACAAGATAAATGGAATGTATTTGCCCTCTGTCCATTACAGCATACTCTGGTGTCTTGGGGGAAGAATCACATGCAATAACCCTCACAACAGAAATGATGCCCCAAGGGGAAACTCTCTGTACTGTGAAACAAAAGAGTAATTATTGAGGAGAAATTGTGTCTCCAAACACAAGGAGCTCACAGCATACCACTAACTAATGACACAAAACTAGCAGTTCCACAACTGAACTGCATTCATCTGTCACAGAGCATGACCTATGCAAAAGACCAAGAGAACAGAAAGATCTTAAAATCTTTTTGAGCTGAGATGGGGTGTGAGAGAGAGACAGATGGATAGGTGGGGGTGGAAGCTGTGAATACTAGAGCTGAAAATGATCTGCTCTGCAGACAGATTCATCTGAGGATTTTCGAGAATCAGCCCCAAGTTGGCCTTGCAGTACCAAGTGGCAAGAACACAGGCAGGGAGATTGGATCAAAAGTATACATGCTACTCAAATCTCAAGGCTGTTCTGCCAAGAAGAATGAACATAAGTGCTGGGACTGTACTCCTAGTTTTTATCAGCAAACTAGGTGGCTGAATGCTAACAAGAACCAAAATGAGGGGACAGCATGTTCGGCTGAACATTTTGAAACAACAACCCCCACCCCACAAGAGGGCACACATCTTCGCCTTCCCCAACAGTCAAATACAGACTTACTGGTCTCCAGAAGCCACAGAATGCTGAGTGTCAACTGGAAAAGAAAAATGGTAAACTGCTTAGGCAGCAGAGGAAACCTGCCTGCCTGAGCCCTTTATAGCTTATAGTACTCTGGGGGAGGACATAAGATGGCTCCCTGAATGGGGGCATCAATTAGAAAGCAAGGACATGCTGCAACATTTTGTTGCAGGGCCCATTTCAGAATGCTAATGATTTACAAGGGGAGTAGATCAGTGTTAAGAGCACCTGCCTTGCATGCAGATGGTCCCAAGTTCAATCCCCAGGTAGGACTGGGAGAGACTGCCTGCCCGAAACCCTGGAGAGCTGCTGCCTGTCAATCAATACTCAACTAGATGAACCGATGGACTTGAGCTTCCTATGTTCCTGTGTACAAGCCTGACAAAATGAAAGACCTGCTATTATTTCTTTATTATTAAAATTTGTATTTTGCCCTCTGACCCAAAGGCTCTCATGGCAGTATGTAACAATTGATCAAAATGCACAAATCAATAGAGAAATTATAATATACAAAATAGGTATCAAAAAACAAATCAAGAACACAAATCCAAGCTATCCAGCATCAGTTTGCATCACTTTTAATTTACATTGTCTAACAGGAAAGCCTTTTTACCCATTAGTAAACCCCCACACAGGGTGGGGTGGGGCAGTGGCTTCATTTGACTATATTCAAGGAAAAGTCTCTGCAACCTTTCTGGCAATCCATTCCATCACTGAGCTGCCCTTTGTTCCTAACGTTTCCTAATGTACGTAAATGAACCCACTCCTTTCCCCCCTTTTTTGTTTGGCATTTTGCAGAGGGGCACAAATGCTGTCCCTCTCCCTTTTGACATCCCTTTAAATATTTGACAACTGTCAAGCAATCTAATCTTCTCCTCTTTCCTCCTTAAATAAATATGCCCAGTTGCTTCAGCTGTTCCCCAGACAACTTTGTTGTGTTGATCCATTCTGCCACTTGCAGCTTCTCACAGAATCATTTCCCCCGTTTGTCTGCAGCCTTCTTGAACTCTGAACCTTTACTGAACTAAATACAGTATTGCAAATATGTTCTTTGCCACTGCTGAGCAGAGATGTAATATTACTTTTGGGGTCGTGGATGTTTCTATTAGCACAGTCCAAAATGTGCTACAGCAACTCATTGTTGACTCTTACAGTTCTCTACAAATGCTGAGCACATTGTACTGCCATTGTACACACTGAGTTCTTTATTATATGTGCTGTTAGGAGAGGGGGTGTATTTGCTTTGGCCCCTTTTACCCTGCTGACCTTTCAGATGTTTAATATTAGCACAAAATGCTAGCAATTTGGAACTGCGCAGTACTGTCTCATTCCATGAATGTGATTAATTAGGTGGCACAGCCCAACTACGTTAATTGTCAGAGAGCCTGTCACTTGGCAAATACACCAGCAATGATCTTTTGCAGCTGCTGTTCTTTCAGAGATGACATCTCTATTACAGCTGGCTTATTTAGATGGTTTCAGGAAGGATGTAATTCATACACCTTCACAGCATATCTGGACCAAAGCATCATTTGCAATAGGATCAGAGCATGGATACCAATAAAACAGTACATCAAGAACAAAAGAGGTGCACATAGTATTATGTGGAATTTGGGGGGGGGGTGAGTGGCAGCGGCGGAATTCAGCTGATGTAAAACTCTGATGTAAAAAAGTCTGAGAAACTTTGAAAGCTTCAGCATAATGCATTATATAAATAGTTCAGACTAGAAAAAAATGGAGTAGTGACTAAGACCATTGCTGTATTTAAACACTTTCATTTTTCTGGGGGAAAAGACTTTAAGATAACTTCCAGATTTGATCCTGCTTTGCTTGTACAGATTTTGTGGGGAGGTTATGTGATATTGACTATTTACTGAGCATTCTTTCTGATTTGTTTGTGAGAAGGCTGCATCAAACAATTGTTATCCCACAATTTCCAGTGCATATTCCTGTTGTTTACCTTATTAAAAAACAACCAATTTTTGGGGAGGTGGGGAAGCAGGTTTGCTGCATAACAGCATCAAACCAACTTTAATTGCATGACCTGAATTTGTCAGTATGTGATTACGATTACGATTATTGTAATCGTAATTGTAATCACATACTGACAAATTCAGGTCATGCAACTAAAGTTGGTTTGATGCTGTTATTAAATCTCACACAAAAAAAAATAGTGACAGCCTGGAAGTGTCTCAACAAAAGGCAGAAGGGTCACCAGGAAAATACAGAATGACAATAGCTGGATGATGGTGTTGTGTGGACGCTCCATAAAAAGTACGGTATCTGAAGGGGGGCAGAAGAATTCCACACTAATCACCCACATGGAAGCTCTTTGTGCTACTAATTCAAAGTCCTAGGTGTATGTACCTTTGAAATGCACAAGATGGATAAGAACAATGATTTTGATTTCAGCAGCTTTGGCCACTTAAAATGAACACTTTCCCTAAATAAGCAAACCCTTTAGGCAAAAGGCTAGATTTGCAGATGAGCTTATGCAAGCTGTATGAAGGTCAAGTGTAATGGGAAATTAATGATCAATGTAATGAATTAAATTACATGGTTATTCTTGTTACATAAGAATTAAGGAAGTTATTAGTAATTACCTCGAGTAATCACTGTCATTCTTAAACAAACTTTAACCCTTGCCCAACCTTTTAGCAACTCAGTCATCAGTTGAACTAGGTAGGGGTGCTTAAAGGGGGTAAGGAGAGGGATGACATTTTGGGTCAAATCTAGCGTTGCTCTTCTGCAAGCAGAAATGCTTCTTCCATTTGTGGAAGGAAACACAATCCAGTGGAGACTCCAGATGGATAATTTTTCACCAGTTCCCTCCACAGACCCTGCACCATCTTCCACCTGATTTTCAAGGGGCACAGGAGGCATCCACAAAACAAATGGCTTCCCTACCCCTTTCCTCCAGAGGGAACATCCCACAAGTGAGTGGAGTTTATAAGTGTGGTTATTTTTGTTGAGGCTGACTGTCAGGGCCAACCCAACCATAAGCCAGACTGAGAAAGCTGCCTCAGGTGGCAGAATCCAAGGAGCACCTCTGTGGGCTGTCTTGCAAAATCTCACTGGAACCCCAAAAACCACAGCCTTGCAACCCCAGTGAAGCTTCAGCAGAGGCAGCAAGGGGTGGGTAGGTGGGTGGAACGCGTGCAGTGCAGCACCTTTACATTTTGCCTCAGGCGGCCAAACAAGACAGGCTGTTACTGTCTATGGTCACCATTTTTTTTTAAAAAGAACTGCTTTTCTTACTGTGGAAACAATCTCTTTTGTTAAATGGAAGCGCTCACGTCGCAAATCAAACACGCTGCTTTTCCCAGCCTTGTTAGGTGGGTTGAAGTGAACCAGTGTCCAATCTCCACCCGACCCCACAAATCCTTCTTGCTCAGGGACCCTCGGCCTTTACTTCTGTGTAAAGATACTGAGGTCTGTGCTGCACAGACGGTGTGATTCCTAACCAGCAACAAAGGCATATTGGGGGGGGGGGGGACCAAAACCGGCCCAGGGCAGTCCATGATAGAGCAAGCGACCGCCACACAGAGTACGGTCTGCTGCTGCTCCTCCCGTGTTACACTGAGGGAAGACTAAAGACCCACCACAAGCTTGTTGTGGAGAAAGTCCTTTAACGCACGACAACCAGGACGGCCGTCGCCCAAAGCTGGGCAGGTTGCCGGATCAAAACCGCGCGGGCGAAAGGCGCGTGCTAAGTTCTGTGACGCCTTGATGTTCTGGAGCGGCTCGGGAAGCGCTCAAGGGACCCAAGCAAAGCTGGCACATAAGCTGAGCTTAACCGCCTATTTATAAGGAAGAGCTCCCCGCCACCCGCTGCCTTTTAGTAGTCTCTGCCCACATTTGGCTCCCCGCTCGCTGCCCAGTCCGTGCTCTTCCTCCCTCCCCATCCTTGTCCCCATCCTAACTGCTCCCCGCCCCCCCCCCCCACTAGTCCCCATCATCACGCGGCGCACGATGCCTTGCCGCCCGCCTCGGCTCCCCTAGCAACAGAGCCTGGCTCCCTTAACTCCCCCAATCAGCGGAGGCTTGCTTCGTCAGAGCCAATGGAGATGCACGGGGCGGAGCCTACCCTCTGCCAGCGGGGGAAGGGCCGCCCCGCTCGGCGCCGCCATTTTGGCCTCTGAGAAACAAAAGAGTCGAAGCCGCTGCTGACGGGGAGCTATTTGGCAGGTAACCGCATCTCTCGGTTTTTTATTACTGTACTATTATTATTATCATCACCACCAACATTACCGTTCCCACCCTTGGGTGTCTCAAGGTGTGAGGAAGAACCGAGGAGTCTCATCCCGTCTCGGGATAGGAGCCCAAAGGTCCCTTTCATGCCGGCTTGAGAAGAGCCGGTGGCAAGGCCACCATCTTCCGCCCCTTCTCCCTGCGGGTGGAGCCGGTTGCCACATCCGCACCCCGGCACCACGTTGCTTTCTCCCGTCGTCCTCAGGCAGCCCGCCTCAGGTATTCGGCTCCCTCGGCTCCTGTAGCCGTTGAAACCCCAAAAGCGCCGCCGTGGCAGCGTCATTGGAGGCAGCAGACTTAGAGGGAGGCTTGCTGTTTCCAAGGGATGCTTCTAGGAGAGGGGTAGGATGAGGAAACGAAGCCTTTAATGTGCGCCCTACCTCCCCCCCCCCAACCCCACACGTCCCAGTACCAGCCAGGTATCAGTGAATATGGTGTGGGTCGTCCCCCCCCTCGTTTGTCTCTCTGCAATCCCCCTCCCCATTTTCTACCCGGCAGGAATATATATCTGAGCACCGCTCTCTCGCGCTCTGTGTTGCGTTTGGCTTGTGATGTGGGCCCGCATCACCGGGCATCCAAACTGAAAATGGTCGGGCGGGGGTGGGGAGGAGGAGAAAATTGCTGCGAACATTTCAAACCCCCCCCCCCCCCTTATTGCGTTTTTATTATACATGCACTTTTATGTTGGGTTTGTTTTAACACTTGAATCGTCATCCTTCTCTCCTTGGGTGAGATTTCTCTTTCCTTTATCTTTCCCTTATCGGAAGGTGTACGCAGGGTTAGAAAACCTTTCGCGTAGGGCCAGGAGGTCATAAAATGGTGAGGTACTTTGAACTTCTGGGTGGGTGTGGTTTAAAGCTTTTATTGTGATGGGAAATGCATGACTCATTGTTACTCTGCAATTTTGAAATAAGCTGGATGACTAACCAGGTACTTGTATATGCCCTCCTGATTTTTTTCTTTCTCCACATGTTGCACCTGCCTGGTGTATTTGTATGAGATTTGTATCATAAATTTGGAACATCTTGATCTTACATTGTAGTAACCTATTACTGTAGTTATTTAATTGAATGTCTAATTGACTTCTTCCCAGGCAGTACACCGTGTGTTGAAAGACCTTTTATTGCCCTGAAAAAATATTAGCAGCAGCCCTGAGGTACTGTGGTTGTTTTGACATGCACATGACACAATCATGGTGTTCTGTATTTCTGATGTAATTTTCTTATGTTTTGGCCTGATTTTATAGCACACCATGCCCTACAGACTTGCTGTGGTTGGCATATTATTAACATGGCAAAAAATAAGTCAGTATCTACCCAAATAACTTCCTCTTAACAGCTCTTAACATTTTATTAGAATTCTTTTTCAGAGCAAATTGCTCAAAAGTGTGCAAAAATGTAGGTAAAAGAAAACAAACACATGGAAGAAGTTCAGTGATTACTAGCAGTCATGTTGAAAGTTAGTTGAAATGTTATGTGAACAAAGTTGTAACCGGAAGGCAACCAGTGAAGTAGCTCGCCAGGAGACTGCAGGAAGCTTTGGAGATTCCGGAATGTTGATAGAAATGCATATGGTGGTCCATGGCCTCTTGAGGAGGGGATGTGGATTACTATCTGTACCACATCAACCTTAATAGCTTTCAAAAGCATCCCAGTTTACAGCCTGGTACAGAATTATCCAAATTATACAGAATACATGAAGATGGCTACCATATCTTAATCAGTGACAAAAGATGTCAGCCTTCTCGCCAGATGGTTATAGTGAAAACAGCTTAAGTCACCAGTGAGTACTTCAAGGCTCCATTGTGCAGTGAGCAGGAGTGGTTATTTCCCATCAGTTATGAGTGATCCTTCAGTTTCTAGACAACAGACTGTCAACCATCATTACATTGGCCGTGTCACCATATTTTCCACATTCTTCTGATATGTGATAAGGTATGATATAGAAGACAAGCTGGACATAAATTGGCTTATTTAGGATAGGGGTATTTAACCTGTAGCCTTCCAGATGTTGTACTACAACTCCTGCCATCCCTTACCATTGACTGTGCGGCCTGGGGTTGATGGAAGCTGAAGTTCCAACATCTGGAGGACCACAGGTTCTCAGTCCCTGATTTAGGATTTATAAATGAAATTAACGGAGATATATTGTACATAGTCAGTTTATAATAAATGCTATTGACATCTTAGTTAACTGGATTGTTTTGGTTGTTTACACCCCCTTTGCCAGTAAGGGGCAGTACTCTGTTGCTTGAGGTGAAGTATTTGCATAATCCAAATTTACTTATGTGAGTTCCCCACAGTCATTGGGGATGTTTGGCATGTGAGAGCCAAGATCTTATAGCTGTCTGCCAGTCACTTCACAGCCACCAGTGATCCTTCCCTTGCATGTTTAAGGGAGTAAAGGTGGAGATCTTGTTGATGGATGGGGTGAAACTACAAGACGTCCCACCATCTTCTAACCGTTGACTTCACTAGGAAGCAAAAAGTAGTAGTTTCTACAAATAGGGATATTATTAAAAGTGGGATTTGGGCAGTGTTAGGAAACTTAGATATATAAGCTAATCGCCAAATGGTGCCTTAAACCTAGGTTACTGTTGTCAAAATGGAATGTCTAGATGTCTTTTTCCTCAATGTGGTTTTTTATTACAATTTTTATTCATTTCATTTCTATACTGCTTTATATTTTAAAGAGAAAAATCTCAAAATGGTTAACAACACATTAAAACATCAAATAATACAATCCAGAACAAAACAAATTCAAGCTTCAATGAAAATATTTCAGACTGTTTCCCCCATATTTATTTACCTACTTAATTTATATAGCTTCCCCATAGTAGAAGTACTCTAGGAAGCCAGTGTGGTGTAGTGGTTAGAGTGTAGGACTAGGGCTTGGGAGATCAGGGTTCAAATCCCCACTCAGTCATAAAGCTTCCTGGATGATCTTGGGCCAGTCGTAGCCTCCTAACCTATCTCACAAAGTGTTTGTGGGTATTAACTGAGGAAGGAGTAAACTATGTACACATTGGAGGAAAAGGTGGGATATAAATGCAATAAATAAGCTTTTCTGCTTACCTTCTTAAGAAAGCTGAAGGGGCCAGCCAGATGGAGATGCCAGTTGTGAGCCTGGTATCCAGAGATTTATATGTAGTTACAACTGGACCTACGCCTGTCACAAAACGCACCTGGCTGATTTTGAACACTGATGGCCGATGAAGGGATCCCTCATCCCCCTCACACAGCATAGAGCCCATTGGAGATGGTGGTGATGACACAGATGGCTGTATGACCCCCTTGCATTTTCATAATCCATTTAGCTGAATTACTTGGGTTGGAGAGACTAATGCCTCTGCTATCCATTGCAACAAGCTTGCTAAATACTTTATAAATAAAATGATGCATATCTGTTTTGACTAGGATGCCATATTTCAAGTATAGATAACTTTAGCACCCCTTTACAGTTGTACCTCGGAAGTCGAACGGAATCTGTTCCGGAAGTCTGTTCAACTTCCGAAATGTTCGGAAACCAAAGCATGGCTTCTGATTGGCTGCAGGAAGCTCCTGCAGCCAATCGGAAGCTGTGGAAGCCCCGTCAGATGTTTGGCTTCCAAAAGAGGGTTTGAAAATCGGAACACTCACAAGGTACGACTACATTTATTTGGAATGGGCAAGGTAGTAGTATAGTTGTCTGTATAAAAAGTTTCACAGAATCTAAAGTGAGATGAAGTAGAGCTTGTCCAATCTCCCCAGGAGGGTATTTTGGAACTGGCACCATCAGTGAGAAGGCCCTGCACTTGATACCCACCAGCCATATTTCCAATGAAGATGAACTGGAGAGTAGAGCCCCTGAAACCATTCTTAAGGAATGAGCGCATTCATGTAGATGGAAGTGGTCCAATTCCACTGAGGGTTTTAAAGACTAAAAGCAACACTTTAATTTGAGGCCAGAAAAAAATGTAGTTGATATCAATGTGTTATGTCCTACACACTAATTAACATTCTGGCAAATACACTTTGTACCAATTGCACTTTTAAAACTTTGAAAGCAGCCACACATAGACAACATTGCACCAGCTTAGATGATTACTGTGATTTATGGATGTGACTAGTGCGTGAGTAACGAGTCAAATCCATGCTTTCGAAGTAAGACCACAACTAGACAAAACTGATAAAAGGCACTCTTGCCTGCTTACATAGTCTGATTAGTTCCAGGAGTAGCCCCAGACTGCATACTTAGTCCTTCAGATGGAGTTCTGTCATTGCCTGCATTAAGGATCATTTTGTTTGCTCCCATCCATGCAAAGACTGACTCCAGATACCAAGTTGGAGTTTTCACAACTTCTCTGTGGTTAGAGGATGGAACGAGAGATAGAGCTGTGTGTCATCAGCATACCAATTGTACTACATTTCAGAATTCCAGATTATGTCTTCCAGTGGTGCCATTTGTAGAATAAACAATGCTGAATCAGAAAGCACTGAAGTTGTCATTGTAGTGGACCTGCTGAAGTAGGATGTATGTAGCATGATGGATGAAATTATACATGCTGTGAAAGGTGAGGTACATAGCCTAGGATCCTGGGAGCAGCCCAACTTCTGGATGCCCAACTGATATTTGTTATAGACACATGCTTCTTCTCAGTTAATATTCAGCATGCCATCTTCCATCCCTTTTGGAAATCAAAGGCATTTTGATCAGTGTAAGTGCTTTGGTAATAGGAACGTTAAGCTGGGTCAGACAATTTATCAGTTGAGGCCAGTATTGCCTACTACTTTGACTGGCAGTGGTACCCTACTTGCTACTTGATTTGTTTTTACACTAATGATATCAGTTTGAATATGGCACCCTTTTCATCAAAAGTATGTGCCCTGAGCTACAGTTCCTCCCTCGATAAGGATTGTTTACTATATGAGACTGTCCTTGAATGGGCATTTATATCATGGCTACTACACTCTACATTTGTATTCATCTTAAAACACACCATATATATTATTTCAGTAATCCTAACAACTACAGCTCTCTTAAGATTGATCAGTATTATTAGTTCCATATTTCACATGTACAATGGAGGCTTGTCTAAGGCATCCAAGTGACTTTCTAGTCGCATGATTTGAATGTAAAACTAACTTTTAATAGCACTGCCTACTTTGGCCTCTGACCCTACCCCACTAGTTTATCCAGAAGGGAATGTGGCTCTCAGACTGAAAGAGTTCCCCACACTTGCAATGATCAAATTTTCCATGTTTGTGTTTAGTAAAAAAAGCTAAAAACTTTGAAATGAAACTGCCAAGTTTGCATTATATTGTATTTTCAGTTGGCATCCATTAATTCTTATTAATGAACTTTTTTCTGTGGAAAAATAAAGCATTGGTGCCCCACATAACTTCTAAGTACTCCTTGTTCTACAGCCCCATCCCAAGAAGTAGGAAATTCAAGAGCTTGTATTTGATGTTGGTAGGAAGACCTGGCAGTTCTATGGCTGGTCACAAATTACAGCAGTAGCAACTTTTTGGGAAACGAGACCTTGAGCTTATGTGTTACGCCCATTCAAAAGCATCCAGAGTAGTTTTAAAAGATGATGCACACACATTCCATTCCAGCAGGCTGCAACAGTGAGAGATAATGGGAAGCAGGGCCAGTCCATCAGTTATGCCTGAAAAACCCAGCTCCACCAGACCTACTCTCCTTTAACTGGCAGCAGCCATTCCAACAGCAAGAGAAAAGACGCTGTGTCTTTCTGCCAGCTCTGCTGAAAGGACCAGCTTCATCAAGCTTCTCCTGTCCCTAAACTCTTTTTCCAGCTAGTCAATATAAGAACTACATACCACGGAGAATTGTGGGTTTGGTTCCAGACCACCACAATAAAGTAAATATCACAATAAAGCAAGACACACAATGCTTTTTGTTTCCCAGCGCATATAAAAGTTATGCTTACATTATACAGTGGTACCTCGGGTTACATACGCTTCACGTTACATACGCTTCAAATTACAGACTCCACTAACCCAGAAATATTACCTCGGGTTAAGAACTTTACCTCAGGATGAGAACAGAAATCGCGTGGCGGCAGCAGGAGGCCCCATTAGCTAAAGTGGTGCTTCAGGTTAAGAACAGTTTCAGGTTAAGAACGGACCTCCGGAACGAATTAAGTACTTAACCCGAGGTACCACTGTACTGTAGTCTATTAAGCCAGGTCCCCCTGGCTGCAGGGCGGGAGGGGGAAAACCTACACACATAGGATCTCCTCTACAGATGTTCCCCCTCAGTATGCATATGGCAAAGGGTGGGTGGCATGATGGCAGAGGTAATAAGTTTTTCACATGTCAAATTCATGAAGGAATCACCCAACTAGGGCTGTGAAGATAGGCTGGAGCACAAAATAAAGTTATATTAGAGTCCTTTGCTGTTCTCTTTATAAGGGGGTCTGACTGTGTCATTATTTTTTCAGGCAAATTAGAACTTTTTTCTTAAGCAGATGGCTCTGTTTCCATTAGTTGCAAATCTCTATACAGTAGGCCAGCCACGTACATGAGGGTTTGGTTCCAGGGGTCCATATGCAAAGGCAAAATCACATAAAGCCAGCAACCCCTGGAACTACCCTCCTGTGTGACCATCCCTGCCTGTCTGGATCGGACCTTGCCCTCTGCCTTGCTAACCGGGCACTGGGATCCTTCAGGAGCCTTCCTGCCGCCTTCCTAGAGACTGGAGGGCTCAAAAAGCTATTTTCATAACTGGTTTCTCCTGCTCCCCATTTACGGTATTTTTCTGTGTATAAGTCAATTTTTTTTGCTGATTTTTTTCCAGTCAAGAATTGGCGGTCATCTTATACACAGAATGTGAATGTGGGGCAGGGCTGGAAAGCTTGACTGCTTTCAGGCTACACTGTGGGGGAAAGGCGCTTTGCTCATGCTCAGAGGCACTATTTCCCCCTCAGCCAGGAGTGAGCCTGGTGTATGGAGTTCAAGCTTCACGTGGTATCCTGTAGACGCCTCGTCGCCCTGTCTGGAAGACTCTACTCTGCCTGCCTTCCTAATCTTTCAGCTGACCTTCCAAAGTTTGGTGACTTAAGCTGTGTGGCTGCCAATCCGCACTGAAGGTGTTATTCTGGGGAGGGAGGGGTGGCTTCTCTGGCTCCAGTGCCCACCTGCTTCACCTTGCCCTGTCCATGGAGATGCAGTTGGCTGCGAGCACTCCTGGATTGCTCCCAGCTCTGGTGGCTCAGAATCCAGGAACTGGACGCTGCTGCTTTGTCTTCATGCAGAGTAGGATCAGGCAGGTTGCAGCTTATGCTGCAAAGCGCGGGAGGGCAACAGACGAGCCCCCTCTCTTGCCCACCTGTTTTGATCCTGGGCGCTTTCTGCCTGGGCTTGAAGGCAATCTCCCCAAAAAAGCTCTCCCTGGCACTCTAAATGAAAAAAAACTTGCCCGTTTTCATGTTTTAAATACTGATTTCTTAATTTTGGGTTAAAAAAAAAGAGATCTTCTTATACATAAGGGCATCTTATACATGGAAAAATACAGTACGGTTAAACCTCAGTTTCCGAACATCTCGGCTGCCGAACGTCTCAGAAGCCAAACACCGAAAACCCGGAAGTGAATGCTTCTGTTTTCAAACGCATCTCGGTAGTCGGATCGCTTCTGAGGCACGTTTTTCAATTTTCCCCATTGAACTTGCTGACAGCCCTTTGATCCTTGGTTTTCGAATGTTTTGGAAGTTGAACAGACTTCCGGAATGGATTACGTTCAAAAACTGAGGTTCCACTGTATTTATTTTTCGGTTGCGTGCCTCAGGTCCCAATCACGTATGTATATTATGTGTTGTTTGCGGGCCCATTGTATAGTATTTAAATCAGTAGCAAACTGCTGTGACTAGTAGAAGCAATCACTAGAAGTTAACAGGAAATGAGTCACAGTAGGCCTGTAAATGAGTAAAACTGTAAGGTGCCATATATTGGAACAATTTCAAGAGGTGTAAGTAAGAATAAGGGTGTGGTCCTACCAATGAAAAAATATATTATAAAATCACACAGAATAGCTATATTCTGGTGAAATGCCTGGCAAGTATTCTAACGTCATTCTAACAAGGGTATTGAAAACAATAGCTACCTTAATCATTACCTTGTTTTTTCAGATTTGCCAGTTCTGTCCGATTACTTTTTGTACCAGTCTTAATAGGGCTTGATTTTTAATAGAAAAAATAGTTTACTTGTGACAACTGTTTAATATGTATCTATTCAGGATGGATTTAACTATGCCTACCTAGACTTGTCCATACTTCTTTCATGCTTTCTTTTCCCCTTCCCCTAGGTGTACATGGGAGTTATTTTCTCCTTGCTAGGCATGGCCTGGGATGTAGTAGAAATAGGCTGGGCAACAGCACATGTATTTCTATCCCCACTCCCCTGTGGCTGTTTGCCACTTTGGACCTTGCCCCTGTTAGATGGATAAAACAGAAGATTGATTAATTTCAATATGTATTGATTGCAACAGGGATGATGGGCCATCAGTTAGATTCACAAACAATACAGTGGTAAGTGGTACCTCGGGTTACATATGCTTGAGGTTACATATGCTTTAGGTTACAGACTCCACTAACCCAGAATTAGTACCTCGGGTTAAGAACTTTGCTTCAGGATGAGAACAGAAATCGTGCAGCGGCAGCAGGAGGCCCCATTAGCTAAAGTGGTGCTTCAGGTTAAGAACAGTTTCAGGATAAGAACAGACCTCCAGAACGAATTAAATACTTAACCCAAGGTACCACTGTAATGCTAACTGAATGTATTCTGCTGTTGTTATCACATATACAGTGGTACCTTGGTTCTTGAACTTAATCCGTCCCAGGAGTCCGTTCGACTCCCAAAACAGTTCAGAAACCAAGGCATGGCTTCCAATTGGCTGCAGGAGCTTCTTGCACTCAAGCGGAAGCTGTGTCGGACATTTGGCTTCCAAAAAACTTTCGCAAATCGGAACACTTCTGGGTTTGCTGCGTTCGGGAGCCGATTTGTTCGACAACTAAGCTGTTCAGGAACCAAGGTACCACTGTATTACATTCTTCCTAATGCAAGTAGAAGTACACTCATTATGGAAACTCATAATAGAACGAATCTGGACATTGCAGACAGAACCAACCAACACACAACAAGCAAGCATCTTTCCAAAACCTTAAGGCTACATTTTGTTCGAATGATTTTTTTTTGGGGGGGTGTCCAATAGGGTGAGTGTTTGTTGGGTTGGGGGATCCTCATATTTCAAAAGAGTGTCCAAGCTGTGTTATTTACCGGTAATCAAATTACAGACAATTTTAACCAAGTCATTTTGTGTCTTGGTATTTTGTATAGTTTGTGATAGAAGAGGAAAGCAAATTTTTGAAGAAATATTTTGCTAGATAAATTGAAATTGATTAGATGCTACTAAATAAAGCCCAGTATGGTATGTTATAAAATGTATAATTTATTAAGTGACAAACTAATGACAATCAGTTCAAATACGGAGTCCACACCCTACTCCTGCATTGTTTCAAAATCCAATAACCTTTAAAGAGGAGAAGTGAAAGAGAACATGGGAACAGTGGAAAAAAACTTACCCTGCAATGGAAAATTTTAATCTCTCATGCAAGATGCAGAGATGCTAAACTGGATCTTCTACAGATTATTATTATTTTTTTTGTCAGGTACACAATGTGCATTGGCTTGCAATGCAATTAAGAAATCAGCTATATCATAGAGGAGCTTTTACTTTATTTTACCCTGATCTTGTACAACAGGTGCATGGGAAATCTGCAGCCCTTCAAATAGTTGTTGGACTATAACTCCCATCAACCCTGACAATTAGCCATGCTGACTGAAGGTTGCAATCCAGCAATATCTGGAAGGCCAGAGCTCCCCCCTCCCCTGCTGTATCGTTGTTCATTTAACGGCTCTGTGCATACATGGATTCGTTAAAGCTGCATCATAACCCCAACCAATGTCACAGAATTGTGACATTACCTGTGTATGTCAGAAATGTGAAATACTATTTATCTGTTCTCACATTTTCACAAAATTCATCTGAGATTGTCTTGTCAGAATTCACGTTTCTTGGCATTTACCAAAAATGGTCAGTTCTTGTAATATGTACATGTAAGGTTTATAAATTAGATAGTTGAGGAGGCATTGCCCTCTTGCCTTTAATGTGATCTTGCAGTTTTCTAGACTGATACACTGCACTTTAAAGGTTTCACCTTGCATTTACTTAACTATGTTGTTTGCATGTCCTTTGCTGACTGCAGGTGTCCTGTGAGAGTACAATGGAAATAAAAGCTGAGCAGTGTAATCATGCTATGGTCATAGATCTCCTGAAATTACTTTTAAAAGTTTCAACAAGGAAAATATTTGACTGCTTTTGTCGGTGTTATTTTTAACAATTCATCTTTCTTTATATAAGGGGGGATCGTTTTGTAATTAAAATGATAGTGTATTAAAGCTTATGTGCCATTTGGTTCTTGAAGAAGTTAAGGAGCTGATTTCTCCCCCTCCCATGCCCCAATTATGATTCCAGCAATCAGCATGATGAAGACCTTCCTCTTTTTGCCCCTCTCCATTTGTACAGCTAATGATGCGTGAAGCCTAATTATTATTAACCCCAGTGTAGTTTTTAGTTCTACCATGCTTTCAGAGGCAATCATCTCTATCTACTGTGACTTTTATTTTGATTAATATTATGCAAAATATAGACTTACATTTTTGCTGATCTTGTTCTTTTGAATTGCAAGCCACCAAACAGCATTCATCCGTACTGTGACATTTTATTTCAGATGTGTGTGTTCTAGACTGATAATAAAACTTTCACCATTTTCCATGGTTAAGATGTGATGCTTAATTTTAGATTTAACTTCCACCAAGGAGATTTAAGGATCACATGCTTTTAAATAGTTGAAATAGTCTCTACACGTCCTTCCTCAAAAATAAGTTTTTTTGGCAAATATGCAATAAACAGTTCTATTTTCTCTTGACCTCTTTTTGTTCTTTGCACTGTTCCATCATTGTGTTCTTGCTTTACTTGTTTGTTTGTTTTTTCTCTCTCAAGAGAAACTTTGCTTCCATCCCTGCTGCTGATGCTGATTTCTTATGGAGCTCTGCTTTATTAACCTCTTGAAAAATTTCCATTCATACATAATGCTGCTGGTACTGACGTAATGAATGCAGTAATAGGACTTGAAGTAGGATTTCCATCCAGTTATGAAAGCCAGTGGTGGAAGTCTGTTGGTATTTAGCATAGATTTTGATCTCTAAAACTAGAAAAACTAAACTTTCTGAAACAAGATAGATAATGTGGGCTCCCTGTTAAGTCAGTACTTACTTTTTGCTCCTTGTGAAGCTAGGAATGGGGACATTGAAATGTTCTTCTGTTCTTGGTATCCCATGAAGGTGACTAGAGATGTCTTCTGGGGACTGGGGCGGCTGTGAGGCTATTCACTTCTACTGCCCTGATCCTTTGGACAAAAGGATAGATAAAAGTATTATGGATGGATTTTTCGCCTCTCCAAAAGCAGGTTTATGTGTGGAATGGTAATTCTAGCAATTGTGAGTGTAAAGCCGGAGGATTATTCCTGGTTCATATGAAATGAAAGGGAATGATTTGGGAATAAACTGCATTCTCAGCTTCTCAGGAGGAACTTCCATGTGTAGAGAAAAACCAGAACATATTAGTCTAGTAGGGCAAGAAAATCATTGTAAGAAGTAGCTGGAAAATATTTATTGTAGGTGTCCCAAGTACCAGGGAACTTTCTGATCCTCAACATCCAGTCTCTTCCTTGATGAGTAGGTAGTCTGTTCATTTAAGCAAAATAATTGAGTGAGGGAGGGGAGATGGGCAATTTGGTATTGTGAAGAGTCTGCCAACAAAGAGGGGGATGGAAGGAGACTGATGTGAAGGAGTTTCACTCACGTGGCTTGCTCATTGGGAAAGCAAGAGTTTTGCAAATTTTAAACTTTAAAAATTCCCATCTCAATTCAGATTACTCTTTTTAAAGTAGTGACTATTAATGGCTCCATTCATATCAACACCCAATGTTTATTCTAGGTTTTGTATTTCAAGGATGCATTTAGTTAAATGCTGAATGCTCGAGACTGTGCATAGCCAGTATTTTGGATAATTTTCTAGATAGTTTAATAAATACTTGAATTTTTTTTCATTAAGGGGATAACTTGTAGTTAAGCAGAAATGAGAGAGCAGAAATAATGAAAATGAAGTAGAGAGAGTTAGCCATTTTGAAAAAAAGAAGACTTTTAGAAAGGCTATTGCCAAAACAAAAGCATTTGTTGTATTTCAGTAATTGAACTCCATGTTCCCAGGCACATGGGTCATTTTCTACATCTCAATATTTAAGTAGGATATTATGTTCTTGGGGAAGATTGTTAATAATTAAAATACTTTATGTTTTATACTCAGAAGATTTAGCAGGAGTTAAAACGCTTTTCCTTTAGGGTTATATAAATGGTATTATGAGGGAAAAGATATAAAATCCTGTTTGGGGTGGAAGTGTGAAGAATAAAGATGCCGTTGTTACCTTGATCTAAAGCAGGAATGGATCATTGGAAAGCTGTACATAACAAAACTTTGCCTAGGGACATCTAGTAGCTTAGGATTGCCTTGAACTGCATTAAGACAGGTTTTTTAAATGTCAAGTATGCTGCAAGCCCCCCAGGGACTGTTTTTAATCCCTCTTAGCTTACACATGGACTTCTGACCAGCAAGATCAGTATAGGTAACACAGTGTCTAGATTGAAAATGTGCAGTAAATAAAACCATGAACCATGAAAACTTAGTGAAGTGGTTAAACACACAAGTTATGAATTGTGAAGCCTGTGATTTAGATCTCTGCTTCACCATATGCTCACTCTGAGGTATCATGCTCTGGTATGGGAACAATAATGTAATCACAAGTAAAATTCCAGGGAAGGGAGGCAAAGACTACTTCAGGGCCTGCTCCAGCTGCTTTTCCCCTCTCCCTCTCAGATGTGTGTGATCTACTGTCATCTACCCAATGGGAAGGATTCAAGGAAGAGAGGTGATGTTGATGGTGATGTCTGCTCTCCCAGAGAAGACTATTCCAAAGAGTAGATGCCAGAGAGGGCCAGCTCCACTTCTAGATCTTGACAGCATGTGAAAAGGTGTAGAGCCCATGCCAGATATTATGTGAGGAAGTATGTATGAGAAGATGCTCTGTGGTGTGGTATGCAAGACACAGGCTGTTTAGGACTTCAAAGTTAAATTTAAAAAAGCAGCACCTATGAGTTGTGCTTTGAAGTAAAAAGACAACCAGTGAAGTCACAAATACTTTAATGCACATCAGTCAATAAGGGACTGCAACATCTGGACCAATTGTGATGCTTTTCAAATCCATTTTCAAGGGCATGTTAATAGGAAATGTTTTTCTGTAGTGTAAGCAGGAGGTTACCAATGCATGAAGAACAAAAGCAAGATTCTGTTGCATAATACTGGAATATTATGCATGCCCCTGTATGAGAGACAGCTTTTATGCTCATGTTTGAAGGTGAGGCCTGTTGAATCATGTCCTGGGTGATACCCAAGAGAATGCAGTTTTGTAAATACACACAGTTCAGCATCCTCTGTGGACTGCTCTGAACATATATGAAAGAAAACAAGTTGTGAAAGCGCTTGAAAAATTAATGAGCTCGCTGGGGAAGAGTGGAGAGTGGCATACGTTTGCGTATCAGGTGAAATCTGTAGCAAATACATTTTTCTGTGAGGATCAGAGGTTGTAGAGATTATTTTGACAAAGTCTTTATGTGTTTGCACACATGCATGCATTTTCTGTTACGATGACAGAGCACAATTTCTTGAATGTATTGTCATGATTACAATAGCTTGTTTATTTGGAAGTAAGCTAGGGTTGCCATATTTCAAAAATAGACTCAGTGTCTGTTCTGAGTAGGAATACAACCCAATGCATCTTACCCTGAGTAGATGATCATTGGATGCATCTTTATCTGAGGGTATTGCTATCGTAGAGTAATTCATTGGAACTGGAAAAATAGTGCCATCTTCTGGATAGAAGTGTGTTGCAGAAATGGACTGGATGCAATAGTAGTTAGGTAGTCAGAATGTGCTTCACACCAGTAAGCCATTAAGAGTAAACATTAGGTATACTCATTGCTTATCTTCTGTAGTATCACAGGTATGAAATTATTGAGCTCAAAATATTTTGTTAAGTGTATTTTCACCGGGTAGTGTGCCTGATGATAATATTGCTATGGTCCAGCAAGTATTTGTTAAATTTCTGTTCACTCTGCTGAGGGCAGCAAACAACAAAACAAAGCACAAAATTTGAAGACGATCTAAAATGTATCTTAAAAAGAATTAAGTATCCTCAGTGCTAATAAGTTCAGTATTATCAGTATCACATACACATCTATTGTTTAAAATCCCTCTGTGTGTCTGTGTATGTTTGTGCATGTGCGCGCGCGCACACACACACACTTCTAGAAATTTATCAATTTTTATAAAAAAGAGTTGTTTGTTTCTGCAATCCATTGCCATTTAAGTTTTAAGATAAATTTTGTGCACACCTACTTGGAAGCAAGGATCTTTGAATTCTGGGATTTATTTCTAAGATGACATGCTTTGCACAGCTTTGCACTGTGATCCTGTACTTGGGTCTATCTAAAAATAAGTCTGCGACCTAGAACACTTTGTGGTCTCTCAGAATTAGCTGCATGATTGTTCATGTAACACTCTTTATGGGAGAACCAGTGGTCACATTATTTTTAGCTACAAATCTTAAAGACTAAACTATATTAGACCTTTGCTATATTTGCTAATAGGATTTAGCTCATCTCTGCTTTTCTTTTTCAAGATGATCAAAATAGACCATTGAGCTTCAAAATGTGTGATCCTCAGTCTTGAAGACCACTATAATTCTGTACGATATAATGTTTGTCATCTTATAAGGAGAAAAACATACGTAGATACAGAGTAAACTTTTAAGATTATCCTCCTGTTTAAGTTGGAGATAAGGTTGCTAAGAATAAAACAAGCAATGCTGAACATACTACTTTTATAGAAATATGCACAATAGGTATTAATGTGTTTTAAAAATGAGGGGGATTGTGAATTTCTGTCTATTTGTGTGATCTATGTATGCACAATTTTCTGAACATGAATTCTTTTTAGTTCTCTTTTTGGAAGCTGCTCTCAGAAGTCTAAAGCTTTTCTTTAAACTCTTGAGTTCAAAAAAGCTAATTTGACATTCTGATTCATTTTATATTTGCTGTTTATATGTTTTTAAAATCGATTTGTATATTTTAATATATTGTTAAGTACCATCCTGAGAACCTTTGAGTTAAAGTGCAAAATACAAACTCACTAAATAATAATTAAATGGAAAATGCTTGTGTTTATTCTTCTGGGACCGTTCTCTTAAAAGCTCAAAAAGCTAAATTGCAAACTCCTTTATTACCTGGGGAGTTCAAAGTGGTGTTGAGGAACTCTTTTCAAAGGCTAGTTTAGGTTGTGGCCAGGCTCTTTCTTTTTAAAATGAATAGTAATAAATAGCGTGTGTATGTATGCATGCAGACTAAAAGAAAGGAAGCATCAAATGGAAACACTGGTTTACAGTGTTATTTGCATGTTCTATCTACGACAGGCTTTAGAAAGCTAGATGGGTATCCGTAATATGATATAGAGAAAAGAGTGGAAATGCGTCATTTATCTACAGTTTTGCCCTGTGGACTATTGTGCTGATAATAAAATGCTGCAAGGGTTAGCAGATTTGAACAGCTAAGAGAAACAGTGCGAGTGCTTCTCCCCCTTCCACTTTCTGCATTGACATTCTCCCTGCTCCTTCGTAATAGGCACGCCTAGTAGCTGTGTGCTAATCCCAATTGGCTAAAATTGTGAGAGGCGTGGTATGCAGATTATGGTATGACCTCACTCCTGTTTGTCTCAGTGCTTAGAGCTTGTTGGCTCTTTTCAGTTTCTGCTTCAGAGCGGAGAGTTTCACTTCTCTTTCTCTCAATCTCGGTTGCGAAAGAATCTGTTATTTGTGCTCTTTCAGACAACGTTGCTAAACGAAAAGGGATTTTCTTCTGTTTCCATAGACTTTCTAGCGGGAATAAACATATACTGGAGAAGCGATCTCTGTGTGAGCTGCCTTCACAACTGCCACATTGGTGTGTCTAATGTGCTACAAGGATGAGCCCGGCATTTGGAGCTATGGAAGTGGAGCACTATTCCAAAGGCGTCCTGCTAGAGCCTTTTGTTCATCAGGTTGGAGGCCACTCCTGTGTCCTCCGGTTTAATGACAAGACCATCTGTAAGCCCCTTATCCAGCGAGAACACCTGTTCTATGAGACCCTTCCTACAGAAATGCGTAAATTCACTCCTCAGTATGAAGGTATGTTACCAACCTTAGAAGGGGGTTGGGCTTTTTTATTCCTTTTGTAAATCCAAATGTGCTGTTTTGTCTCTAAAGTCTCTTATGCTGAAGAGATTTTAGGGGGTTTCTTTTCATGCATTTTGATATTGTCTGAGCCAGGCTGTGGAGATACAGGGTGGAGATGCTTGCCAGTGGGTCTTTGGGCTGAATAACAGCATTAGAGTAGAACAACTCTGCTGATGATAGCCTATAGATCGGCCTTAGGCACAGGTAGGTAAGTATATTGATAATAGCTTGTAAATGTTTTCAGTAATAATGTGCTGCTTCTTTCTGATTTGTATGTATGTGTGCACTTTTTAAAACAAAACAAAAAATAAACTGGATAAGATTTGCTTGTCTTACAGAAGTTTATTGTGGCTCTTTGGATTCTTTTCTACCTCTAACAATTTGGTCAGCATAGCAGGGAAGTTAAAATTTACTGTTAAAACATATTCAGCTTGTTTTTGCCCTTAAGGAGATGGGGAAAAAATGCGGTCATTAGGTAGGCAAAAGGTGAAATACCGTTGAAGAGACTGTCTCAGATGGTATGTGGGAGTAGATATTCCAGTTCTTAGCATTGCATTAGTTGACCAAAACTTTTAACTTTGAATGAGGTACTACTGGAATTTAATTAAAGATACCCGAATTTTTAAAATCTGATTACCTTTTTACATTGTATTATATTTATTCACTGAATAAAGCAACCACTATTTCACCAATTAAAAGACTAAGAGATGTCTCTTAGTTGTATTGCTATATGATGTGCACGCTTACTGAAACATTTGAAAACTTCTCATTACAAGCTTTTGGAATGAATAGATGAAAATGTACTTTATAAATGTTTGATAGAATGTAATAAATTGTACTAGCATATGTGGTTTTTCTCTTTTGGAGATGTGTGGGAGGGATTCAGGGGTAAGGGGGGGCCTCATTTGGTCCATCTCTGTTGTTTTTTCCAGGATAAAGTCAAAGGCCATTTTCTAGCTGGCTTCCCCCCCTTTCCTGTAGCTCTTTCCTGTGTGGGCAGCAGGACTGTCAGTCAGAGCTTCCGCACTCCCTACCCTTGCTACTGTAGGTCCCAGAGCTGCCTGCCCTTCTCAGAAGTGCCAGTCTCTCGCCAAGAACTCTAGTGATGAGCGGCAAGAATGTACAGATTGATTGATTTCAGGATAAAGAGAGAGGACTGAGGAAAAAAAGCCCCATTCAGCCAGTTGTTACAACTTCTGCCATAGCATTCCTATATGGCACTGTCAGAACTTTCCTCTAAGACTCTCAAAACATAAGACAATGCTCTAGAGACTCTGAGATGAGGAAGCAAAAATGCTTTCAAAGTTCACCATGTTTTGATGTATCTCAGTCAAATTTGTTTTGTACTTCATTTTGTTATTTCCTTTGCAAGACTGCTACATAACTGAAATCAATAAAATATATTCCCCCAAGGAAAATAAAAATTGTAAAGTTAAACGTGGTGATTCTAAGTGGAACCCTTTGAATTAGTTGTCTGTTGTAATGTGTGATGTTGTTCTTGTTTTGCTCTGCTCTTGCAAGCCTTTCCTTTTCCCTGGAATCTATTAACCCTCCTGAAAGCCTTTTGTTTGGATAAGTGCTTTTAGCTTTGCTGTTAAGCAAAACTTAAAGCTTTTGGTGTTTCTGTGCAGGGCACATTTCACTGCAAGATGTAAATATACAATGTTTTACATCTCTTCTAGGGACAGATAAGTCAGATTTTTTAAAAAAGAAAATAATAAAAAATTTCAATAATTGAAAACGTCTCCTGTTATTATTTGATTCCTATGTGATTCTGCTCACGAGAAGAATCTCCTGTATCATTAATGTGTTGTCTTCATGATAAATTGTCTTCTCTGTGAGGTGTCACTTTGTCTAGATGTTTTGATATTTGTTAGGTTGACAGATGAGTTTTGGCCTGTGGCAAGATAAAAAACTAAGGACTGGGGTAAGAGAAAAACCAAAGTTGCTATATTCTTAGTGCAAAATTATGTTGTGTTGTAAGCTGTATATGCTTCTCATTTCTTTAATTTTAACTGTATATCTTATTTTTCCTCTGAAGGTGTGGTATCGGTAAGCTTTGAAGAGGATGAAGACGGAAACCTGTGTCTAATAGCATATCCATTAAATGGGGACCATGATAACTTGGAAAGCCTAGATAATTCTGAATGTGAACCTAAAAATAAATTGTTACGGTGGACTAATAAAAAGACTGTATTGCTAGAAAATGAAAAGTTAACAAAGGAGTGGGTTCGACAGCACCGAAAAGAAGAGAAAATGAAAAGGTAACTAAAAAAAGAGTAAGCAAAGCAAAAGCTAATATCATGATTCTTCTGTGTACACTCAAATCTCATGAATTGCAAAAAATAAAATAAAAAAAATGCAGTGCAATCCTAAGCATTTTTACTTGGAAGCAGTTCCAATTGTATTTAATGGGTTTCCTTATAGATGACTGTATAAAACTACAGACTTAGTGTGGTAAAACTGGATAGGGTTGTATACTGTACATTTTTGTGCCTAGAAAGTCATTTTTCAAATTTAAGTAAGGAGCTCTGAAATTCTAGTTTTTCAGGCCTACAATATATTTAAGTTGATTGATTTCAGGATTAGATTGAGGCATTTTAAGTAGGAGAAGAATATCTGGAACATGGTGTCATTTGAATCTTGAAAGTTATAAACTGTAGCAACTGTTAAATAATGCTCTTCAAATATATATATAAGAGGCCATGTTAGGCTGATGCTTCAAAAGCAATCAAAAATATTGTGGCACCTTACAAACAAGGCACTTATTTATTTAGCTTTTGTGGACTAGAATCAGTGCTCATCGGATGCCAGTACTCTTTTAAAAACATGGGTGAAGGCTTGACTGAGAAACCATGGGACAAATTACTTGGTTAATATAAGAAAGATAGTGGATGCCACTTTTTAGTTTAAAAATCATTGTGAAATAGGCTAGTTGTAAGCAATGCACGAGTGAAGGCTAGCAGAGCACAAATATTTTCAAATGATTTTTGAAAGGCTAGGATACTTCCACTTGACCACTAATACTAAGGTTTGGTTCTTATTTTTCAGCCATAAGTTAGAGGAAGAATTCGAATTGCTGAAGAAATCTGAAGTGCTGTATTACAGTGTGGAGAAAAAAGGAAATGTCAGTTCTCAGTTTAAACACCATAATCCTTGGAGTATGAAATGTCATCAGCAGCAGTTAAAGCGAATGAAGGAAAATGCAAAACATCGGAATCAATATAGTATCCTTTGTGCAAATAAATGAATGACAACTGAACAAGAACCACATTATCGTAGGAACTGAATAGTTAAATATCAAATGTGACAAGTCACTGAAACGGGAACTTTTAGACCAAATTTGTGTTTCTCAGCATTGGCTGATGGAAGTGACTACAATGTACTATTTTCTGCTGTTGGAATTCAGGCTCTCACATAGTTCTTAGGCTGATGCTACATAAATCTGCAGACCATTTACCTTTACAGTAGCCCGCAATTGATGTGTAATCTCTGCATTTGGTGGAGGATATTGATGGTAGTGCTGTTGTCTGCATTATGTAAGGAACCATGTTGGTCATGCTTCAGTCCAAGCCAATCTACCTCTAAGCCAGTACAGTTTGTTGAGGAGTGATCTGTGCTGACAGTGGTATGAGTACAGATGTGCCTTTAAATCAAGATATTCCTTAGTGCACATCTAATTTTTATAAATGGAACCTCATGCTTTAATTAGTGGATAGACCCAGTGAAGTAAAGTTCTGCTGTTTCTTTATGTTGGAACCACCAGCATTCTTTCCTCAAATGGCACCAGAGGGCTTAATCTCTACCTCTCATGATCCTCATGATCACACATTCAAATGTATCTTGGTTTGCTTTTTTAATCGGCCCAAAGAAGTATGTATGTTTTTTTGTTCAGTTGTATGGAGAAAAATAATGCTATCTTAAGTGACAGAGCCAGGAGCTTATTGTCTCTTCTTCTCTATTTTTTATTTCCAGTAGAATATCTGATAGAGGGAGATCATGTTTAACACATATTCTTTGTAGATAAAGAGCTCATGTGCTACACGTAAACCCACTTCCCTAAATCATATAAATGCAGTCTACAGGGATTGGCTTGTAGACACCTCGACATTCTGTGATTGCCATTGGAGGCAAATAGATAAAGGGGTCTGTGTGCCGAAAATAATAAATGTGCTGCTGGTTCTCTGATGTAGCACAAAGATGATGTTTGGCTGTATTTTGTCTTTAAGTAGCCTATTTACTGTATGCTTCTGGAAATGAATGTACAGGGGTACCTCAGGTTAAGAACTTAATTCATTCTGGAGGTCCGTTCTTAACCTGAAACTGTTCTTAACCTGAGGTACCACTTTAGCTAATTGGACCTCCCGCTGCTGCCACACGTTTTATGTTCTCATCCTGAAGCAAACTTCTTAATGCGAGGTACTATTTCTGGGTTAGCGGCGTCTGTAACCTGAAGCGTCTGTAACCCGAGGTACCACTGTATAAGAACTGCTAATGGGTTTTTTTCAGGGGGACATTAAACCCTTAGAACACTGAAAAATGTTCAGTGAAAATACGCAGGTTCTCTGCACAAACCTTGTAGAGAAATTTTCTGATGGAGTTGTCTGAAATATTGATAACTTATCATCAATATCTGATTGGGATAGTTTATAATATTTTTCTACAGTTGAGAAGAGCAGCTGAATAGTTTATCCAAGGGTTTATCCATGAGTTATGTGTCAGAGCAAAAGCTTGCTGAAGCCAAATTGATTGTTTGACAGATTCTGTCCTAAATCTCCACCATCTCAGAGAACAATGCTTTTCTTTGGTTTGTGGAAAACAAGGCATTTTATGATACAGACCTGCCTGACTGTTAAAATCAGCAGGGGAGGCCTTGCTGGGGGAGCACTGCTATTTGAGGCCCAAGAGGTAGTGGTATTCTGGGGACCTTCTCTGTAGTTACCCCCCCCCCCAATATGCCCAGTTATGGAACACCTTCCCCATGGCAAAGGGGCCAGCACTCTACCTGGCACTATCACCAGACTCTTTTCATTGGTCATCTGGGAGCAGATGAGTAATTTTAGATTGGGTTGTACCCCCCCTTGCACTATAGTAATTTCTGTGTTCCAAGTAAGGTATTTAATATATTTTATTGAATGTTCGTATCCTGCCCCTTGTAGTGAAAGGTGGATAACAATGAGTTTAAAATGCCAGTCATTAATAGTGAAGTTAAGCTTTACAAGTTCTAATATAGGGGCAACATTGAGAATTTTAATTATTGGTTGGAACATTTCTTTATTTCGGCTTCAAGTATAAGAGTAATTTTGGTCACAGTTCTTCCGAGCTTTCCTTAACTAAACAGAATTTATCTTACTGGAAAACCTAACCTCGCGTTATGAGGTGCCTTGTGTGTTAGATCTCAAGATGGGAACCCGGCAGCATGGAGATGATGCATCTGAAGAAAAGAAGGCAAATCAAATCCGGAAGTGTCAGCAGAGCACTTCAGCAGTTATAGGAGTCCGAGTTTGTGGTATGCAGGTGAGTTTCAGAAAGAGCAGGAATGAATAGTTTCTGCTTATTAGACTGTGAGTGAAACCAATTTCTATTTGCGTTTTCTTCAAGTGGAAAAATTCTGGCTTTCCTTAGGCAAGGATTGCACTGTTCTGAATTTTGTGAGCTACTGATTACAGTTGTCATCAAATAGTAGAATTAAGTGCAGTGGCGCTGTACATTTCTCATTATATATTTCAGGCAATTTAAGAATGGTGTCCTCCTTATTTTCTCTAATTCAAAAAAATTCAGTGGTGTTACTCATTTTAGGCAATTTTGTAACCTTCCCACTTCCTACTTTTCTAGCTGAGAAATTTTACATTTTATTCACCATCTTGCTGAAGAAAGCTCCAGAACGTGGCAGTATCACTGTAATCAGGCGGATGGGCCACTTGAGAGCAATGCTCTTCCTTATCAAGAGCGGAGAAAGTGAGCCACTGTGCCTTTCTCTCACCATGCATGGAATTTGCTATTTAACCATCAGGCTGTCCTTGATTAAGAAATCCAATATGGGAGATGATCACAGAGAGTTCGTTTCCACATGCATGTGCATGGAGTGAAGCATGCACTCAAAAATCCTCTCTAGCAATGCATTCTCTTCCCTCCCATACTAGCAGATTGATTGATTTATTTTAAATGCAGATTCTGTCCTGGAGTCCTGAAAGACTAAATTTGAATGCAGATAAACTGCAAATTATTCACGATACTAATAGGCTGCACCCTTGCTTTTTTAAAAAAATAGTTTTTATTAAGGATTTTTTTGTGGTAGTCTGCACTAAGTCTTTGTAGTGTGCACACTTCAGAAAAACAACCAAAGGAAGGCTCCTTTCACAAATAACATGATTGTAACTGTAAGGCAAGCTGTTACTATTTATTTGGGTGTTTGTTTGTTTGTTTCACCTTTCATTCTGGAAAGATTTCTAAGACACCTTGCAATTTAAAAGTAAATAAATAAAATTACATTGAAGCTGCTGCTTTTCCCTTTGGATCATTGTGGCTGTTCATGTTGACTTTGATCGCAACATATTGCTCAAAAGGACTTGACAGCTGGGTGAAAGTTGCCTAGCCGTGTGCACTTTATTCCCTTCACTGCAGGCATTTTCACTGTCCAGAGGTAGAGTAGGTGGTAACAGTTAGCTGTTCTGCTGCCTGGCTGTTTAGTTATTCCCTGTAAGTGAAAGATGCAAGTGAATGGGGCAGTATGGACAATAAAAATAGTTAGGGCTCCTTGCTTCTCTGCTGGCTCTATGCATCCTTTTATGCAAGCTTGGTTTGAATGGAATGACTACTATGAGAGAGGAACTTTTCATCTTTCTGTACAACTAGAAGAGGTCACCTATCCCACTTTTTCTTTCCTTTGTTACTTTTAGTTGTAAACATCTCTGTGCTTTCCCTTTAACAGCAGCATCTCCTTTGCAAATGATGCTTGGAAGGTATAAACATGGTATTCATAGTCCCTTTCCTTATTTCAGGCTGCAGGATATTGCTCCAGTAGTTTCTTAGTTCATTCTTTCTGCTTTTAGAGATCCTAGTTTTAGTCACCATGCTTAATTTTTATCCATTTGAGGGCCAGCTTGTACCGTCATTTCAGTTTAGTCTTCAAGGACTGACTCATTAATCTTTGCTACCATTTTAGCAGATACTAATATGATTTGTTATGGTGTGTTAAAATATATTTTCATTGTCTCAGTTATATGCTTCAAGCTATTGATTTCTTCTGCGATGTAGACATACACAATAATTTTATTTAAAGGGCCATTTACCCCTTCATGAGATTGCCACCAGTAGCTTTTCAAAATGAATTAACAAGCATAGGCATGATACTGCTGTTATTGGGCTGAGTTACCAAATGCCATTATGCATGTTGTAACTTGACTTTTGAAATAGTGGCCAAGTAAATTCCTAATCCTACTTAAATTCCATGGTCTTATTTCATCAATGGAAAAACAATAATATACACCTTAAGAATCTGCTTTGGAATTAAAACGTGTTATATATGAATGATTTGGCAGTTAGAATATTCCACCTCTGACTTCCTTCAGCTATATCAGAAGACTTTTGAAAAGTTTTCATTCTCTTCTGAAGCATATAATTTCTTGAGGGTTTTAATTCAAAGTTACTGTTTCATTCAGTGCTAACAAGTCCTTTTCTTGCCTTGTATTTTCTACAGGTTTATCAGCCAGGTTCTGGCCAGTTAATGTTCATGAATAAATACCATGGAAGGAAGCTTTCGGTCCAAGGATTTAAAGAAGCACTTTACCAGTTCTTTCATAATGGGAAATACCTGCGAAGAGAACTCTTTGAACCTGTTCTAAAGAAACTGACTGAATTAAAATCAGTCTTGGAGAAACAGGAATCTTACCGCTTTTACTCCAGTTCTTTGCTCATCATTTATGATGGAAAGGAATTACAAGAGGTAGCCGTGGACTCTGATCCAGAAGACCTTGAAGGCCTTTCAGAGGAGTCTTCAGATGAATCGGCAGGCGCATATGCCTATAAGCCTACTGCTAGCTCAGTTGATGTTCGAATGATAGACTTTGCCCATACAACTTGCAGGTATTACGGAGAAGATAGCGTGGTGCATGAGGGCCAAGACACGGGTTATGTTTTTGGACTTCAAAACTTAATAGTTATTATTAAAGAAATAAGGGATGAAAGCAGTGAATAAACATTTAGAATGCAAAGCAGTAGAAAGCACTATAGTGACTCTTTGTATTCCAGAAATATTGACCACTTTCTGGTGGTAGCAACCTGTACAGACTCTGTTGGGATGGCCCCATCAGAGTCAAAGCTGTTCGGGCATTTCCTTTTAGTGGTGCTAGAGTTAGCACTGACACATCTGGGTATCTTTATTATTTATTTTAACTCTCGTGAACATTCCATATTTGATTATTCAAATACCTCTGTTATTCCTGTGTGTATATATACCAATAAAATTCTTTTTGTTCATTGTAAGTGACAATGTTCTCTTTCCAAGGGCCTGGGATGTTTTTGGTCATTTTGTTAAAACAAGCAGATTATTATCCCTTGGTTAAGGTGGACAGATCTTCCCTTCACATCTTTTTCATAAAGTGAAATATTTATTGTTAAGAGGGTATCCTAGTGTATTCCTAGTATTAGACTCACCCACAAATAGTAGAACCAGAACAAGTTGGAACTACCTACAAGTAGGATTTCCTTGGTGGAGAGTAGGTGTTGGAGGAACACATCAGGAAGCCCATGTTGCTGGAGTCTGCACTATTCCCTCCAAAAGCGATTGGTGACCTTTTTAGAGGAGTCCATAAGTCTTGCCTGCAAATGGGTGAAGCCTTTTGCGGAGCCTTAATAAACTAATTAAAAGCACCCAGTTGATCCCAACAATCAACAGATATATGAGATGTATCACGCCTGCTTTAAGATACCAAACACACAGGCCTTGGCAGCTATGGTTATTCCCAGCTCTTGCCTATCCTCATTTCTTGGTCTTTCTAATCATGTTGTGGAGCAGGGCATTTGTTGTTTTTCCTCTTTGACTATTGCATTATCTGCTTCTTGCCCCCCCCCCCCCCCGGAGCCAAGCTGGGGGTCGACTCTTAAATGTAAGCATTTTAACTCTTCCCCTTGGAGCTGTACGGTATGGCTTTTAAGTTGTGCCTGTTGAGAATTCACATAAATTGTCCTGTGTGAGATCTCTTGCTTGTGTCCTGGGCATGTGTTCGGCTTCAGTGTTTATTTTTCACCATGTTATCAGAATATGCAATTTCATTTTATGTCCTGAGCCAAGAATAATTTTATTATTTCTAGCCCACCTATCTGACCAGGTTTCAAAGGGCTCAATCCCAAAGAAAGACATTTATGACCAACACAATCTGTTTATAAGCAGTACAAACCTAGGACAGCTATACATCTTTTCACAATAACTGAAACCAGGAAATACCAAAGAATTCATGCAAATGAAACAGTGGATTCTGCAATAATCAACAAGCCCGTCTCCCTCATATGATTATGCTCTGCTAATCAATTTTAGTCTCAGTGAGGTCTGCTATATGATACACTGATGCTGTTAATGAAACTGCACCTTCACATAGGTACCTAGCTCTAAAGCACGGCCTTTACCCACATTTTCCTTAGTTCTCTTTGATGCTTGCTTGTCTTTGCCCATGTATGTCAAATTTCTCTAGCTTTTCTGTGTGCCATTTGCCCTTTCACTGCTGGGTCAGCCAGTTGGTGTGAGCTGGGATGAAACTATAGAGCAGGGGTCAGCAACCTTTTTCAGCAGGGGGCCAGTCAACTGTCCCTCAGACCATGTGGTGGGCTGGACTATATTTTTTTGGGGGGGGGGGGAATGAATGAATTCCTATGCCCGACAAATAACCCAGAGATGCATTTTAAATAAAGCCCACATTATACTCATGTAAAAACACGCTGATTCCCGGACTGTCCGTGGGCCGGATTGAGAAGGCAATTGGGCCACATCTGGCCCATGGGCCTTAGGTTGCCTACCCCTGCTAAAGAGCGCCCGAGTGTGATTGCCCTTCGTCAAAATGTTTGTGTTGGAACTGAGACAATTAGAAGAGTGCCCTGCATGAAATGTTGGAGTAAAAATTAACAACATACTGTTGAGCATTAGGTGAATACCTTTAAAAAGTCATGGATGAATTCCACACAAATACCATTCTTCATTGTGGGTCTGCTCCCTACCCCGTTATTCCTAGCCCCGTCTTAACAAACCAGTGACCGCTAGCATAGCACTCAACCACACACACACAGAGAGATGTTCACTCTTGCACAATCGCTCCTGCACATGCTTGCCATGTGCTCACAGCTTCACTGGTCCTGAGCTGGCCCTCTCTGGAGGAATGAACTTGTAGCTGCCCTTACCACCTCCAGTGCTAGCTTCAGATGTCCAGCTACGTAGGTCAAGCTTGCCTTAGTTCTCTCTTGGCTGCTTTTTAATGGATGCAGCTGCTGAAAAGAGGTGGATGCTTAGAAATGTGTCTTTTGTATATCTGAACATGTGGACTATGGGGCTGCTGGATGACTGCATCTTTGCTGCTTCAACACTCAGTAAAATACACTATAATAGTAGCAAGATCTGCAAATGTTGGCTTTCCAGGGGTGAGACAAGTGGGGTGAAAGGTGATTCCCCCCATGACCTTATAAAATTAAGCAATAACTTGACCAAGCTGTACTGTGGTCCTATTCAAACAGTGCTTCATTGAGCTGCCTTTGATGCCTTCAGGTATCCTCTTTGTTCATCCACATCATCTCTGCCCTTAAAACGGTTTTAAAATTATTAATACGTGTTTGGGAAATCTGTTCCTAGCATAGTACTCCAAGCATATAATAATCGAAAAGCTATCAAACATTCAAATTGTGAAAGCTCAGTTTTTAAAAAGAAATTAAGTAGCAAACAATTCATAAATATGGTTTTCTGGAAACGGGGGGCGGGGGGGGGAGAGAGATGTTGAAAATAGCAAAAGAGAGAAGTACCTTTCAGTTAACAGAAGGATATGATTCTTTGTAATTGCCAATTGATTATGCCAAAGTCTGCCTTCGTCTTGCACCATTTTGTAGCTGGCTCTGTCCCTAACACTCCCACTTTGTGACTGGTGGGCCCACATACAGTTTGGCCCTGGTAGTAGATAGTTTGAGAATCCCTGGTTTAAAGCTTTATATGTAAGCATCAGTACTTTGAATTGGGCCTGGTGATTTTACCTTCTTGGGCTCCATGACCACTGCAGATTGTGACAGCAGTCACAAAATTAAAAGACGCCTGCTTCTTGGGAGAAAATCAAAGACAAACCCACGCAGCATCTTAAAAAGCAGAGACATCACCTTGCCAACAAAGGTCCATATAGTTAAAGCTATGGTTTTCCCAATAGTGATTTATGGAAGTGAGAGCTGAACCATAAAGAAGGCTGATTGTCGAAGAATTGATGCTTTTGAATTATGGTGCTGGAGGAGACTCTTGAGAGTCCCATGGACTGCAAGAAGATCAAACCTATCCATTCTGAAGGAAATCAGCCCTGAGTGCTCACTGGAAGGACAGATCCTAAAGCTCAGGCTCCAATACTTTGGCCACCTCATGAGAAGAGAAGACGCCCTGGAAAAGACCCTGATGTTGGGAAAGATGGAGGGCACAAGGAGAAGGGGACGACAGAGGATGAGATGGTTGGACAGTGTTCTCGAAACTACTAACAAGAGTTTGACCAAACTGCGGCAAGCAGTGGAAAACAGGAGTTCTTGGCATGCTCTGGTCCATGGGGTCACGAAGAGTTGAACACGACTAAATGACTAAACAACAACAACAAGCCATAAACCAGGGCAATTGATAAAAGGCAAGCATAATATGGCCTGGAAAATATACAACAGAAAGTAATCCTGCTGCCACATTATGCATTGCTCTATGATAGTTTCTTTTGTGGATGGAACTCCCTCCAGCATTTAGAATGATTCACAGTGTTGTAGTCAAACTGCAGGAACTCCACTGGTATAGCATCCCAAAAAGATGTCCATAGCCTCTCCTTACAAGCTTCTAACCAAGGAGAGGCTGCCACCTTCTGAGACAGTCTGCTCCTTCAACAACTTCTGATAGAAACTGGTTGTGGTTTATTACCAGCCTTAAACAAATTTAAGATTAGTTTGCATACAGGTGGGCTGCCAAAGTAAATCCAGGTGCACATAAATACTTCCAAAATGACCTATGTGGGACCTTGAAAATTCCAGGAAACAGCACCTAAATTTCTAAATGGGGTACCTCTTGTTCTTTCCTTGTACATTACAGTAAACATGACTCAGTGAAAACAGTATTAATGGTGGGAACCATGCAGATAAGTGATACACAGACCATTTCACACATTCATCTCTATCATTTGATCCATCTTCACTCATAGAATCATAGTATGCAAAAAAAAGAGGTTCCAGGGTTGCTGTAGAAAAAGAGTATGTCACACTTTCCTGTGAAATACTCATTAGTGCTGCTTCCTTATTTTGAGCAACATATTCGGATAACAGCACAGCTGAAAGGAAAGGGCAGGTTTCCTGCATATCCAGATTTGATGCAAGCCCAGTTTTGTTTTAAACATGCCAAATTAAGATGTAACTTAACAATGTGATTCATATCTGATGCTGAGAATTGCTGCTTAATGTCAGAACATCCTCACTCTGGAGTCTAAAATAGAAAGAAAAGGGGGAAAAAGCCATCTCCACCCAAAACTTGGAGAGAGTTGAATGACGTTAATGGAGTGGCTATTGTGAGAGCAAGACTTGTTTTCCTTCCTTGCTCCTTGTCCCCGAATTCTTTCAAGCGGCTCCTATGTTTGCAGAATGCCAGTTACATAACTGCTTCTTCTGAGTTTGCCAGCGCTGAGCACCATTAGTCTGTGGGTGGAAGTACAGTGTGTGATTGTTTAAACAAAGTCTGGCTTTTATTGCCCAAGTATCCAGGTGGCACAGATTGTCTCTAGGGCCGACACTGGCTCTTGGGAAGCCTTGGTAGGAGGGATGGTGGTTGGCCTGAACCATGGAAGCCAGTTCCCTTCCTACCACCTCAAGAATCTGGGTTAAGAGCAGACAGCGTGAGCGCCCGGCAGTTCTGGGAAACGGCACAGTGGTTTTAAAAAGAGCCTCTCAAAGCTTAAAAAGACAGCCTCATTTGAGATCCTCTCAAAGGTTTTCCATCAGAAG